GTATTACATTGATTATAATTATTCTACCATGTTTGAGGTATGTATTATCAGTATCCACTCATAATGGTCACCGGTCCATTCTGGGTTCTAGTGGCCTTAGTCTGCCCACTAGAGTGTGCACATGGTGTCCGGCATTTATGCTGGCAGATGTTCAGGTATCAGGCAGGTGATGATGTTATCTCACCATCAGTATCAGATCATGATTATTCAGTACCAGTTTCATGTTCATGTTCATGCCAACATCATGTTATTGTAATTATTTTCGATGTTTACTTTAGTACGAGTTTCCACAGAGCACAGTGTATTTTAGTGCTCACGACCCACTTTTATCATGTTTTTCAGGTCAGGATGTCGGGCCGGAGGTGTGAGATGACGGATGATTCAGGACTTTTGCTCATGTGATTGTAAATATTTTGATGATATTACGTTTCCGCTGATTATGATGTTCTGACAAACTTATCTTTTGATCGGGCTTTCAGATATTTAATGCTTTCAGAAAACCGTAGATTTTTGTTAAAACTAAATAACGGTTTTTCAGGATAATTCATGTTTTTACAGTAGCACCCCAAATCAGTTTTCGCAAATTAAAAGATTTTATTTTAAAAGACTTTGCGAAATTACGCACTCTGATTTCACGATAAGGCGGGGTGGTACAGTTGGTATCAGAGCACGTTTCTGCGTCTCTGAAAAATTTTACGAGTCAGAAAGTTTTGAAAAACCTGAACCGTCACGCTCACTCCTCGCCAACTACAGGTAAGTGCTGATTCATGGTTTCAAATTATAAACAAGTACTATTTCTATGCTAAAAAATTTTCAGTTATAAATTAGTTAAGATGCTCGAATCATGTTCAGAATCAGTAATCAGGATATCAGTTAGTATTTCCCAGTCATGTTTAGCAACTCGTCAAGAGATTTGTGTGCTTTAGTGATCAGTTAAAGTATTTCATTGAATCTTAATCATGTTGAATCTTTTAAATATTCAGATGCCGCCCCGTAGGGAACCTGAACAGCCAGCGGTCCCCCAGGCCACAGTGGTCGCACAGTTCCGCGACTACCACCCTGAGAAGTTTTCCGGCCAGGGAGATCCGTGTAT